TTACCTTACCTTACCTTACCTTACCTTACCTTACCTTACCTTACCTTACCTTACCTTACCTTACCTTACCTTATTTTATCTTATCTTATCTTGTCTTATCTTATCTAAGGCAGCAGCTCAGCAGGACAACATGAGAGGAAACAATCTGATCCCTGATCCACCTGATTCAACTGATCCACCTGATCCACCTGATCCTCACCCTCTGCAGCCGACAGAGAAGCAGCTGAACCAACAGTTTAGCTGCTGGAGCACTGATAAGACAACACGTCTCATCAGAGACACACTGAGAAACCAGCAAATGATAAAAAATATGTATATATCTTAAACCTTCTGTGATGTGGGTCAGGATGCTGTGTACTCTAGTTGTTTTGAGACTCGTTATTCCTTTAAATGCGCTGTCTCACCTGGGAGCCGGGAGTCGCCGGTGCTCAGGAACCCCAGCGTACCGACTCTATAGTTCACCGTGACGACAATGACCCCACCCCTGTCAGCCATCTCCTTCCCATCGTACAGAGAATCTCCCAGAATGGCCAAGTCATTGGACGCCCCCAGAAGAAAGGCTCCTCCAAACAGGTAAACCATCACTGGAAGGCTGGTGGACACTGCAGGGACACACCTGAGGTCAGAGTCTGTTATTTATGGGGCTGCAGTTCTTCCTGCATCCACTAGAGCTGCTGTGATCAAACTCTTTTTGTTTTATGAAGAGATTTTATGTTGTTTTAAGACTTTTTTTTACATGTAAGACTACTGTGGCGCCCCCTGCAGGACACTGAGGTAATAAACCAGTTTACAGTTGTGGTGTGACCCACCTGATAGTTCATGTGGAACAAAGATGTTCAGGTAGAGACAGTCCTCGCTGCCCCGGGTTTTTGTCTGCAGCAGCGTCACCTGCAGGCACCGGTCTCGGTACTTCGTGGCCTTCAGGATTCCTGAAAACAACGTGCAGGCGGTTACAAAGACGAACGAGCTGCTAAAAATAATCCTTTAAGGGTTTTATAAATTCAGTTGTTTAAGATGACATCATCAGATAAATGTGTTGTAGCTGCCAGGTCAGGTTTACCACTCCATCCAGGATGAGGTTTTGGTTTCTCCCACTTTCCAGGAACATCAGCGAAGGGGACGCCTTTAAAGACTTCGACAGAACTGAAGAGGCCTGTGCTGAAGCTCCGCCCTTCGACCAGCCCCCCCTCTGTCTGCACCACGCCCAGCTGCACAGAAACACCAGCTAAAACATTCAGAACTAAAACTAAAACAATGCATCAGAACAGTGGCTAAAAGAACATCAGCTAAACCTACAAAGTAGCTAAAAATAACTAAAGAACAAAGATTTTCTTCTGGATTCTGGATCGGAGCTAAATGTCTTCATCTCAGCAGGAATAGTTTCATTTCACGTAAATATTTGTTTTGTTAAAACTGGACTAAAATCAGTAAAAGAGAAGGAACCAGCCTTTGCAGCAGAGGCTGGGTTCAGCCCGAGGCCCAACAGAACCAGCAGCAGCAGTCTCATCCTCAGCAGTGATGTGTTGCAGTTCTGCAGAACGTCCTGCTTTATAAGCTCCGGTCAGCTCTTATCTGCAGCACACCTGCAGCTGGGAGAGAGACTCACAGAACCGCATCGAGCAGCAGCTTCTGTCACAACATGATTAGTTCTGTCCGACCAGAACCAGAACCAGAACCAGAACCTGAACCTGAACCAGAACCAGAGCTGTTCAGACGTTTTCAGAAACTTTAACTTAACTTTCACAAGTCAAACGACTCCATCCAGTGAAACTAGTCCCGTTGTTTACGTAAAACCTTCCTACAAATAAGAGCTGAGCTTTACACACAACAAACTACACACAACAAACTTTACACAAAAACTTTACGAGGAACCAACTTTACACACAACAAATTTTACTGAACTTATTTACTTTATACAAAAACTTTATACAAAACCAACTTTACACAAAATCTTACACAAATCAAACTTTACACAAAATCTTACACAAATCAAACTTTACACAAAAACTTTACGCAGAACCAACTTTACACAAAACTAATTTTACACTGAACCTTTTTACATTACACAAAACAAACTTTACACAAAACCTTTACGCGGAAGTATCTTTACTCTAAACAAATTTTACACAGAACTTCTTTACATTATACTGAAACTTTACGCAAAAACTCTACACAAAACCAACTACACAAAATCTTACACAAATCAAACTTTACACAAAAACTTTACGCGGAAGTAACTTTACACAAAAACTTTACACAAATCAAACTTTACACAAAAACTTTACGCGGAAGTAACTTTACACAAAAACTTTACACAAATCAAACTTTACACAAAAACTTTACACAAATCAAAGTTTACACAAAAACTTTACGCGGCAGTAACTTTACACAAAACAAACTTTATGAAAAACATTGAAATTAAACTTTTTTACATTATACAAAACAAACAAACTAACAAACAAATTTTATGCAGAACTAACTAAACACAAAACAAACTTGACACATAACTGACTTTCCAAATAAACTTTACGCAGAACATATTTTACACTAAACGGACTTTACACTAAATAAACTTTATGAAAAACAGATTATACAGGACAAACTTTACATAAAAATAACTTTCCAAATAACAAACTTTACACAGAACACATTTTACACAAAACAAAACTTACAGAAAACAAACCATACAGAGTAAAACTTTACACTAAACAGGTTTTACCCAAAACAAAACATACAAAGACCAAATTTTACACAAAACTGATTTCATACAAAACACAAACAGAATATCTTCTCTCTGACTGTGTGATAATCTGAAACATTAAATCACATCTCACTGTGTTTTTATTTATTTATTCTTTTCTCCAGTTATTTACTTTGAGGTTTGTTTAAATCTGAAAGTTTCACAGGATGAAAATTTGTTTTGGAAGAACTTTAGATTTTTATTTTTATTTTAGATTTTAGATTTATCATGATTATTATGATTTATTATTATATTATTTTAGATTATTTTTGTAAATTTACACGACAAGAAAAAGAAAACAAAATGAAACAATTTTACAAATACTAATCTAAAATTACCAAAAACGGAGTGAAGCCAAGGCTTACCTGCCTGTTCAGTTTATTAAACTGTAAAATCTGTTGTTTCTGATTCACTTTGTGTTTTATAAATTTAAAACATGTTGGAGACCTGAGATCAGATCAGAGAATCATTAACTCAGTTTTTACCTCTGAGGTTTAAAGTCGATCGATCATCTGTTTTTATCAGAGCAGAGTGAGAACACACACAGCTGCTGTTCACACACACACACACACACACACACACACACACACACAC